ACAATTGATGTATGTATGGATTGTGATAAGAGTCATATGAGCCCCTAATAAGATGATTTAAAAAAAAAAAAAGAGGGGCCATCATTTTTCTCCTGTGAAGAGGAAATCTGGACACTTGTGTCAGCCCACTGGGCAAATGTGGCATGCACATAGGCTTGAAAGGTGCATGCGCATTAGACCTTGGGCACCTTTGCTGCTGGGAGCACTTGAAAAGAAAGGTAAAGGTAGAGGATCATTGGGAGCAGAGCTGAACTGACTCTTCTGAGACTTCCTGGACCAACCAGTACACCCATTATCAGAGATATGCGTAAGACCATTCTAAACCATCCAACCCAGCTGAGACTAGAATCACTCCCTTGGCCTGTAGAATTGTGAAAAACTAGATGTTTTGTTAGTTTAAACCATTGAATTCTTCAATTGTTTGTCTCGAGGTAATAGGTAACTTATAAAACTGGTTATTTAGAAAAGATAATCAAAATGGTAGTATTTTGTTGTTTATAACAAAGTTGGACGTTAGTAACACAAGGTTTGCAGATGATGTGGGGGTGAGGGATTGTCTTTTAAGGTGTTATTTATTTGGAATATGTCAAGGACACTATAATCACCTAGATCCTTTTTGAGGAAAGTGAGGCAGGCAGGAGTGGGTGTGGTGTTACTAACCTCCAGGAAGGGGGTATTCATCTTAAGGAAGGAATGTACTGGCCCAGCTTCTTAGCAAGAAGTAAAACGAATAGACTTGATGGGTTAACCAAAGAGGAACTTACGGAGAAGCCACTGAGTACCTCATAGAATTACCTAGAAGTATCAAACATCTGGTTTGGGAAAAGTATAAGGATATTTAATATGAACTTGTTCAGACAGGTATCACAGAAAGGAGAATACAAATCAGTTTCCTGTAACCAGGAAATACAAGTTGCAATCAGTCACTTTTTTAGTGTTTATAATTATCACTAGCCACAGAAAATCTTTGAGTATTTAAAAGAGACGGAAACCCCAGTCACTGGTTGTTGTTATTCATAGGTGCCATTGAGTCGGTTCCAGTTCTTAGCGACCCTATACACAGCGGAAGGAAAGGCCCCCAGTGTTGCGCCATCATCATACATGTTCTTATGTTTGAGCCCATGTCTACAGCCTGTGTCAGTCCATATCCCCGACGTCCTTCTTTTTCATAGCCAAACATTATGTCTTTTTCCACGGCTGGTCTCTCCGGATAAGAGGTCCAAAGCATGTGAGATGAAGTTTCGCTATCCTTGCCTACATCTAAGGAAAATTCTGGCTATCCTTTTTTTTCTTAACATTTTATTGGGGGCTGGTACAACTCTTATCACAATGTGCATACGTCCATACATTGTGCCAAGCACATATGTACATTTGTTGCCATCATCATTCTCAAAACATTTTTTTTCTACTTGAGCCCTTGGTATCAGTTCTTCATTTTCCCCTCCCACTCCACTCCCCCCTCCTCACGAACCCTTGATTGTTTTGTCATATCTTAACTGTCCATTGTCTCCCTTCACCCACTTTTCTGTTGTCCATCCCCCAAGGAGGGGTTTATAGGTAGTTCTCCCTTTCTACCCCACCTTACCCTTACCCTCCTGGTATCACTACTCTCATTGTTGGTCATGAAGGGTTTATCTGTCCTGGATTCCTTGTCTCTCCAGTTCTTATCTGTACCAGTGTAAATCCTGTGGTCTAGCTGGATTTGTAAGGTAGCATTGGGATCATGATAGTGTCGGGGTGGGAAGGGGAAAGGAAGCACTAAAGAGCTAGAGGAAAGTTGTATGTTTCATCGTTGCTACACTGCACCCTGACTGGCTCATCTCCTCCCGAAACCATTCTGTAAGGGGATGTCCAGTTGCCTACAGATGTGCTTTGGGTCTCCGCTCTGTGCTCCCCCTCATTCACAATGATAACGATTTTTTGTTCTTTGGTGCCTGGTACCTGATCCCATTGACTCCTCATGATCACACAGGCTAGTGTGCTTCTTCCATATGGGCTTTGTTGCTTCTCAGCTAGGTGGCCGCTTGTTCATCTTCAAGACCCCAAACGCTATATCTTTTGATAAATGGACACCATCAACTTTCTTCACCACATTTGCTTATGCACCCACTTTGTCTTCAGCAGTTGTGTCAGGAAGGTGAGCATCATGGAATCCATCTGGCTGTACTTCTTCCAAGACAGATTTGTCTGTTCTTTTGGCAGTCCATGGTGCTTTGAATATTCTTCACCAGCACCATAGTTCAAATGCATCAATGTTTCTTTAGTCTTCCTTAACCAGTGTCCAATATTCACATGCACATGAGCCAGTTGAAAATATCATGGCTTGGGTTAGGTACACCTTAGTCCTCAAAGTAACATCTCTAAGTACAGTGCAGTAAAACCAGAAATTGACCTCAAAAGATAACTATTTGCCCTACCCAATTCTGTACACTTAGAAATTTAACTGAAGAGTTATTTAGAAAAGTATTTGGCATTGAAAATAATATTACTCGGTGTGTGTGTATGTGTACACGTACACACATATAGGAACCTATGACATTAAATATACAATAAATTTAAACTTGGAATATGATCAGACCATTTCTTACAAGAAAATATGTGGTCCTAAAATGTTCTCAAATTTTATTTTACTCTTTTTTTTTTCACCTACATGTAGTGCTCATGAAGGTAGGAAAGATACTATTTTAAATACTTAAAATAAGGGAAAATATTATTTAAAGTTTAAATTAATGAAGTTGAAACAAAGCTAGTAAAACTAAAGGCATGAACCCCTAATAAAATGTAAAAAAAACAAAACAAAAAAAAACAAGGCTTGGATAGAAAAATAAAAGCTAATTATTTCAAAGAAAAGTAAGATAGTTACAGATTGAACTAATCTCATCAAGAAAAGATTAAAACAAAGGTATGAAAGTAAAAGACAAATAATAAAAGTTATCTTTGAAAGTAGAAAACCTAAAAGTAGTCACTTCAGAACAATTGAAACAGTAAAGATCTTTTCCCAGTGAATGTTCTAGGCATG